GACGAGTCTCTTAATCAATCATCTGATACCACGCTCAACTCACCAGATCAGTAATGATTGTGCTGACAACACGAGCGCCAGTTAACGGCAGACTGCAGTCCTGCACAATCTTGGAAGAGCCGTCCTTAGCAACATGCTCGGTTGCGACAACGATCTTGGTGTTGTCGGGATTAGACACCAAGTCCATAGCACCCCCCATGCCTTTGAATACCTTGCCGGGAATCATGTAGTTGGCCAAGTCGCCCGTGGCGCTCACCTGCAGCGCACCGAGGATAGAGACATCTACATGGCCGCCACGGATCATGCCAAAAGACTCGGCGCTGTCGAATGTTGAAGCACCGGGAACGAGGGTGACAGTCTCCTTGCCAGCATTGACGATGTCGCTAGAGTTGGACATGTCAGCTCGTGCATCTTAAGTCCTCTTAAAAGTATACTTACGCGTCGACCTGGTCTTTGGTAGGGTAAGGACCCATGCCCAAGATTCCGTTCTCAGATTGAATCCAAACATTGCGTTCAGCCGGGAGGAATGAGGGAGCCAGAGTCGGGATGCCTATTACAGTCAGCGCCTCTCTTCAAGCCTCACGGGGTTATGAATCTCATCTCACCAACGCCGAGGTTGACGTAGAAACCCTCCTGCAACTCCTTCGCAGCACGTCTGGCAATGCGATTGCGCCTCGCCTGCGCATCGTTCTTGGGTGCATTCAGATCTTCGCCTTCACCATCCTCCGCCCTTGTCTTGAGAATCTCAATATTCTTCTCGGCGGTCGAAGGCACGATTCGGTCGACAAAGATTCCGGGCAAATCGACGTCGTTGGGGTCGATTGCGCCCGCCTCGACAATATTCTCCGCTTCCACGATGGTGACTGTTGCGGCCTTGGCCATAATGGGTCCAAATGCTTTGGTTGTGTATCTGCACAGAGACACAGTTAGCAAGGTCCTTTGCTCAGTCAATTCGCAAGTAGTTTTCGTACCTGAACACGCAGTTTCCTGCTGTGTCCACTTTCCATGCTCTCAAGATGGCCACATCTCCCGTAAGTGCAGTCTCCATGAGATACGTCTTGCCGTTGAATTCTCTCGTCTCTCTGGTGCGTCCGCGCTCCTTCACGGCGCCAGAAGCATCGAGTTTGACAGGAATGTCACCACTCTGAACCAGAGAGTCTGCTCATGTCAGCTACATCTCTCAGTTCCTATCAAGGTATAACCTACGAGCTCCAGTGGGCGTAAAGAAGGCGGGAATTCCAGCGCCACCGGCACGGATCCTCTCAGCAAGTGTTCCCTGAGGGCACAGCTCGATGCCGATCTCTCCAGTGAGATACTTCTTCTCCAATGCCTTGTTGTTTCCGAGGAATGACAAGATCAGGCGGTTCACCTGGCCAGCCTTGGTGAGGACGGCCAGACCACCCTTGCCTTCTTGGCCGGCATTGTTTGAGACAGCTGTAAGCGAGTGCAGGTTCTCGGGCCCCCTACGGTTTAGTGCAGCGATGATTGTGTCTGTCGTTGAATGTGTTAGCCATTCTTCTAATCTCTGGCAGTGCAGACATATAGAACATCGCCCAACTGGACTAACCTGCAACACCACAGAGCCCGAAACCCGAACTCAGAATAGTTGATCCGCTCTTGATGTCCGCGACAGCCTCATCGGCAGATGCATACAGCTTCGAGCCACCTCTCTTCGTAGCAGGTGCCTTCTGTGATCTGCGGATTGGTGTCGTCGTTATGCCACGGCATGTCGCAACACCAAGGACCTTTGCGCGGGGGAAACGCTGAGCTTGCGCACACACTGCGGGCACAGCTCTGAAGGATGCGCGGACCAGCACCCGCGGGCGCAACTGGCGAGTAATGGAAGACATTTGTTCGGTCCTTTTCTGGAGGAAGAAGCAGGCTTATCCACAAAACACAAAAGGGAAGGTTTCAATCAATTGTGACGAGAGACCAGAGATTAAGCACAAGTAAAAGAAAAAGGAAGGCCGATTGTCGGGGGACATTTCTAGGTTCGGGTTAGGTGGGCGCGACTTCATCTTTTTGAACGGATTGCTGCGCGGGACACCTCGGCTGTTCTTTTGCGCGCCGACCACGACGGAGTCCCTCCGCTCCCGCGGTTCAGTAGTGGCTTCGGCATGAGGGGGAAGATGCAGGCAAAGACAGGGGAGTCTCTGACGTCTTCGTGGCGGGGCATCGGGAGTTGTGGGAACTCGGAGTTTCTTCTGCAGTAGCTCTCGGAGACCAAAAGTAGACTCCGAGTCAGCTTAATGGCGTACAGTAAACAAAGGCTTGTCATTGGTCTGGACGGGATGACGGCAAGGTCAAAGAGACGATCCGGGGATGGTCTAAGATGCTACCCGCCGTGGGTTCGTCCTCCCCCGCAGATTTGGGGTCTGGGGAAGACGGGCTTCAAAACGGGGGAGGGACCCCCAAGCTTTGCCCTTGCTTGGCAGATAGAAACTCGGGTCTTGTTGTCTTGTCTTCTCTCTTGTTCTCGTCTTTCCAGTCTCTTCATAGAGTTTCCCAAGGTTACACTGCCAAATCTTATTCGAATTCAACATGACATCGAAAGACTTCGACATGGATCCTAAGGTTGAGCATGACGAGAGCCACCTGGAGGTTGAAGCGGAACGCCAACGGCATCTCACGAGGACTTTGCTCTTCAAAGTTGACACTAGGTAAGCTTTTGCCCCAGGTTTTCAACTACAAGCAACCCTTTTGAAGACTCATTCCAACTTACACGCAACGATTGACAGGGTCCTACCGCTTTTGGCCCTACTGTTCCTCTGTTCCTTTCTTGATCGAACCAACGTCGGCAACGCAAAGATTATTGGCCTAGCCGAGGACCTTGGCATCAGTAACAACCAATACAACCAAGGCTTGGCCGTCTTCTATGCGACATACATCGCGAGGTAACATCTCTCCATCCGTTCTCAGCTGATCTTGGCGCTGTCAACGTGCTCTCGTCCCATGTGGTTCCCCACAGTCGTCCGGTCGCTAATGCACGCCCAGCGAACTGCCAAGCAACCTCGTCTTGAAGAAGGTCTCACCGCGGATATGGCTCCCCTTTCTTACCTGTGCTTGGGGTATTGTTAGTACGTACACGGATCAACAGTAATCGGTCTCATTATCATCCATCACTAACTTTGCAAAGCCATGTGTCTCGGCTTCGTCCGTAGCTACGGCAGCTTCGTCGCAGTCCGAGCAATCCTGGGTCTGACTGAGGGTGGGCTGCTTCCCGGAATGGTGCTGTATCTTTCTGGCTTGTACACCCGCGGAGAACTTGCACTGCGCATTGGTATCTTCTACACGGCTGCATCTCTCTCTGGTGCATTTGGAGGTCTTCTCGCCAGAGGCTTGTCCGCGATTGGTCCTGCGGCTGGCCTTGAAGGTTGGAGATGGATCTTCATCATTGAGGGCATCATTGTAAGATCTTGAACCCCGGCCATGGAACTAGTGAGTGTTAACATACTTCCTTAGACGGTCGTCTGTGGAATCATTGCCGCTATTGGCCTGCCAAACAACCTGGCGACGGCGAAGATCCTAACGGATGAAGAGCGAGAGTGGGCGCTGCTCCGGCTCCAAGGTCATGCTGGAGACCGATTTGAGTAAGATCCCAAAGCCAAACTGTAAAGAACCTCGACAACTGACATATTCACAGCTCTTCACGCGAAAGGGAGGAGAAGTTTCGATGGTCCGAAGTTGGTCGCGGCGTTTTCAACCTTCAGATCTGGCTCAGCGCAACTGCCTACTTTGCCATTCTGTCTGGTCTATACTCCTTTGGTCTATTCGTAAGCTTATTGGTTTCATACGTATTGTCACACAGCTGATTGAGTACAAAAAGCTCCCGACAATCATCAACGATATGCATATCGCTTCCAACTCAAATCAAGTTCAACTTTGGTCCGTGATCCCGTACGCGGTCGCGACCCCCGTTACAGGTGAGCAATGGCAAAAGATTAAGAATAGAGACTAAGCTCAAAGCTGACTTCCCTCATAGTCCTCGTTGCCTTCCTATCCGATCGCCTCCGCCTACGTGGCACACTCATGCTCTTCGTCCTGCCCATCTCCATCGCGGGCTACGCAGCCATCGCCAACGTCACGGCGCCACAGACGAGATTTGCAATGACATGCCTTATGGCCATTGGCATGTACAGTGCCGTCCCGTGCGTCTTGGTTTGGAACTCCAACAATTCGGCTGGCCATTACAAGCGCGCGACAACGTCCGCGCTTCAGCTTGCCATCGCCAACTGTGGCGGTTTCGTAGCGAGTAAGTTTGCAATACGCATCAAACAAGCATATCACTGACTGGATTTGCAGCCTTCATCTACCCTAGCACTGATGGCCCATTGTACCATAAGGGCCACACTGTCATTTTGGGACTGCTATGCTACGCATGGGTGGCGTGAGTAAAACCATACGCTGTTCGTGGTTCAATAGACTAACAGAAAGCCCAGGACCTTTATAAATGTTCTCTGGTGCGCCAAGATCAACCGCGATAAGGCTGCTGGGAAGTATGACCAGTTCGTTGGTACAGGTGATGATCGGGAACCTCACTTTAAGATGGTGTTGTAGGAATGGCTAAGCGATAATTGGGTGTCGAGAAGTGAAGCACGTACCTAGATCTTATGGTAGAATGATATTCTCTGTCTTCAAGTTACGGAGCTTGCTGGGTTTCAAGTTTCAGACCTAGCTTTTCTTCCAAATACTCCGTAGACCGTCCTCGTCAATATCAGAGCACACTTCATCATGCGCATGTCGCCAGTCAATATTTTATCCACAGAGGGAAAGGGTTTTGCGGCTGGACTTGCATTGCATGTCGCTGTAAGGGCACCCAACATCTGGATTCAGTTTCTTGCCAGTCCTTCCCTGAAGGAAACCAAGCATGTTTGGCAATACGATAAACTGGTACATTAAAGTATTGAAGAACAAAGCTCGCATTCATACAAGGCTCAATGATCCGGTTCTGGAGCCCGGTAGTGTACAGCACCCCTATGAGCATCACAACCGCCGGCGATCTACAACTTGGACTCGCGTCCTGGAGCGAAGTTTGACCTCGCAGCTCCGCCGATGGCCTCCGTAATAGTATCAACCGACTTCAAAATCCACTCGCTGCCTTCATCGCTGGCCAACCACTCCGCACCTTGAATGTCCTCCTGGTTGTCCGCCTTGTATGTGCCGTCCTCAAGTCCCTTCCTCAAGCCGAAAACGTGCGAAAGAACCTGCGGGCCGACACCGGTTTGTGCTCGCAAGCATGAAATGGCAATCATCGAAGTCAGCACTCTTCCGACGCTGGCCAGACCTCCCCGCTCCTTGGGTTCCGACAACAAACCCGCATAGTGGCTGTGGAGAATGTGGACCGGAAGATCCGGGTGCGATTGCGCCAGCTTCTCGTAGAGCTTGACCTCGAAGGGGGCGTAAATGGAGTCCCACAGGCCCTGGCCGCGTACTGTGATGGCGTCGATGTTTTGCGCGTTTGGTGTTCGCGTCGGCTTCGTCTCCAATTGTGCCGTCACGTCCTTGGGGAGGCTAGCGTAGAAGGCGTTGAGGCAGTTGATAGTGCGTGGAATGCCGTTGAAGCTGATGCACTTAAGCCCGATTTCTCGAATGAACTCGGCAGTCTCGCGCTTGTCGGGGCGGCCGGAGGAAGACGCGACACTGTAGAGGGATTCTAGAGAGTCGGGAGAGTTGAGTGTGAAGGTTGCCGCGGCCTGTGAGATGCCGAGGTTAGCAACTAAGCCCCCACGAGTGTTGTACCAGCTCAGTTGTACTCAATTGAGCCACACAACAGAAGCTGCGAAAGTCGCGATATGTCTATCTCACCGAAATTGCTAGCCACGGCTTTGCGCCGACATTTTTTGATGCCGCATCCTTAGCGATGGCTTGGTACACCTCGCGAATATGCGACGGCGCAGCCGTCTGGCCGGGACGGGCGAACGGCGCGTTGATGAGCGCCTTGAGCGACGGTGCAAGCTTCGACATGGTTTCCTCTGGTTTTCGATTACTGCTGGACCTGTTCTGCTTCAACTGTTTCTCTGCGGGCGCATCATCCATCGGACTAGAAGGCGTGCGTTCAAGCGAAGGTGGTGGGATGCAGAAGTGGTTTTGTTTCCCCAATTGAACGAGACCGGAGGGGTTCCGCAAGTCGGAAGACAAAAGAAGGCCCCTCGACCGTGCGTCTCGGACTCAAAAAGAAGTGCCGACGCGAAGAGTCCCATGTGACATCAGCGTGGAGAAATTGGAGCTCGACTCTTTAAACATTGCGCCGAGCGGCCGAGAGCTCGCCGGCTCTACATTTAGAGGCCGAGGGATTGCGGGATGAGAACGAGACCGGACGCGTATCAACAGACAGCGGGCGGATAAGCTTAGACAAGGGGTTGATAGTCACAATGCCGCATTACTTATCAAAAGAGCATTCTCATGGATCGAGCTTCTGAAAATGGATGTTGAGAAGTCCCTTTGGCACTTTGGTTGCATGTAGCATTGCATATACCCACAGCACACACGTACACCAGCACACGATGGCCGGCGGCAGCAAGCAGAAGGAGCCTTTCTGGCTTGGGTGAGTTAGACTGGTCCAAGTTGGGAATGTAGGCTGGAATCGAGCTGACCGATAGTTGCAGAGGTGCTGCAGCATCTATGGCAGTCTGCTTCAGTACGTTCGCCATTGAGCTTGAGCGACATCGCCGTGTTTTGAATGGTCACTGATCACACAACTTCAGCACATCCCTTGGATCAAACTAAGTAGTGAGTAAAGAGTTGTTCACAGCTAGGAGCGCGCAGAACGAGCACTGATTGTAAAAGTCGAATGCAGGTCCTCAAGTCAAGGGAGTCAATGTTTCGAGCAATGTATCGTTTCGCAGCTCGAGATGGTGAGGGATACAGCTAATCTTCTGGTATCATGATTGCTTACACTGTATAGGGTTCTTTTCCTTATGGTCTGGGCTGTCAGCATCCATCTTTCGACAAACCACTTATTCCACTGCACGGTTCGGACTGTACAATTACTTTGCGCAACAAGCGAAGAAATGGACGGGCCAAGACAAGTTGACAACAGCGATGACGATATCTTGTGCTGGGTTGGCTGGAGGCATGGCAGGGCTGGTCGGAAATCCTGCTGAGGTATGGCTGGCATCGCTCCACTATTCAGCGCAGACTCTCACGGGTGTTAGGTCGTCCTCGTCCGCATGTGTGCCGATGGAGCCAAGAATGTCGGCGAACGATTCGCTTACTCGAACGCTGTCGAAGGGCTTTACAGGATAGGTCGCGAAGAGGGTGTGGGAGCATTCACAAGAGGCATATCTGCCAATGTGGTGCGCAGTATACTCATGAGTAAGTCAAGCGAAAACCTCGGAAACGACTGTAGAATTTTATTGAAGCTGATGCCGAATGATAGATGTGGGACAAATCGCCACGTGAGTGCCAAATGAGTGGACGTCTCTGGGTGAAGGGACTCAATAAAACAAGCAAAACTGACACGAAAGCACGAAACAGATACTCAACAGCGAAACGCATCCTTCTGCAAAAGACTGAAATGAAGGACGATATCAAGACACACGCCGTGGCATCCCTCTTTGCTGGAACTGCGGCGACAACGATTTGCGCGCCAGCTGATGTCCTCAAGAGCAGAATTCAAAGTGCTGCTGCGAGCGGCCCAGGGGCAAACGTGAGTAGTCAGGTCCAGTCCGGTCCTTGCAGAGGAACCGACTAATCGAACCTAGTCTTTGCTTCGTATTGTACAGACGGGTCTGAGGGAAGAAGGAGCAATTTTCTTGATGAAGGGATGGACCCCGGCGTGGTTGAGATTGACGTAAGTCACATCCACGATGAAAAGAAATGTCGATAATGTTGCTAATGAACCGTATACTGAAGGCCGAATACTGTCCTGACTTTTGTGTTCATGGAACAGCTGCGGAAACTGACGCAGTGGCAGTTCGCAGCCCCGGTCGAAACCATGAAGGCATGATGTGCGCCAAATGGCAAACCGAGAGATGTTTCTCTAGAACCCAAACTCTGTCAAATTAGGCCAGCTTAGCCAGTCAAAGTTATTCATGTCGTCCCAGGATAGGCCTGCAAATGAGGGGTCGAACTCGTTGTCTGGCTGATTGAGAACCTCAGCAATCTGGTCGTCAGACATGGCAGAGAACTGCAAAGTCCCAGGCCATAGCTGCGACTCCATGTAAGGCGGCTGCGAGACCGGTGGCCCCATATTGACGGGAGGCGAGGCAGCAACAGCCGACGAGGGGGTTCCGAGCTGACCACTGCGAGGGATAGTTGGATCAGGTTGCATGCTCGTCTGAGGCTGGCCATCCATGGCTGTGGCCGCCTTCCTGACGATACGTCTTAGATACTTTCCGTACAGTGTAGACAAGCCATTTCTGTGCTTTGTGGCAGAGCCAATACGTTCCAAGACGTCTGCCGTTTCTTCAATGAGGTTCCGAATGCTAGGTGCCAAGTTTGAGCTGCCCGTGGCGTAGGCGCTTAGAGTCAGGGCAAAACAGGCTGCAAACGAGACCATGATTGTCGTGTTGTTCGGGATCGACTGGAGCTGCGACTCTCCTTGGATCGCTGCTCGCATGACCGTCACAGCAGACGATAGCCCGGCCGTACGGAAGAATTGCCGGACTTCCATCGGGGCGGTCGGGTGGTTGATGACGCCTCCGTACGTCGAGAGCCGGGTGTGGGTGACGAGAATCTCAACGTACGGAGGGAGTCGGCGCTGGGGGCCTGTGCCAATGGCGTAGCCCCATTCGGTCAGCCATTGATCGAAGAATCTCTCAATAGCACTCTGGATCGACTGGGCGATGAGCCCGCCGTCCGTAGATATTCCCTGCGACCCGTCGCAGAGCGCGCGGACTGTGTTGAGTAGTCCGTCGAGGTCTCGGCGAAGGACGGCCATCGAGACTAGATGACCATCCATGGGGTCAGCAATGCTGGACCGATGCCATTGGTCGCAGTCTTTGATGACCCGGGTGATGGGCACGGTATAGGGTCGGCCGCGAGCTAGAGACATGCCTCGTTCAAGAACGAAAAGTGCGATCCAGCAGCGCTCACGGCGACGAAGAAGGCGTTGTCCAAGATCAGAGGTATGTTCAATGTGGCTGAAGCCGTCCATGGCCAGCGCTGTCCGAGGATCAAGACAGTCACCTCGGGACAAGGCCATGTTCGAACCGGAACCAACAACTTCCATTGGGATGAGGAGCTTATTCAAGGACAGATCAATGGCGATAGTGGCAGCCATATTGACATACCAGCAAGTCTCATCATCAGTGCTATGCTGGCCAGGAAACATCCATGGAACGTTGACCATGAATGCAAGAACAATCTCAACGGACTTGTGTCGGTTCGCGATGACTCTATGTGCGAGGGTCTTGCAATGGTTTGACAGTCTCTTGGACAAGGCACCAGCGGATGGAAGGAACAGGGCCGATGCGGCCATGATGGAGGTGCACAAGAAGGCAGATCGCGAGCGCGTGAAGGATGGAGTGTAGATCTTGGGGTCAAGTCCCCATCGGGTGTGGGCAAGTTTGCCATGGAAGCTGGATGGTGAGTTTGACGAAGCCCTCATCGGCGGTGGGCGTGTGTCACTTACAAAGCAAATAATGATTCTGCCTCTTCCTCAGTTACAAGACCCATGGTGATGGGATCTATGTCGTCGCCGACATCAAAGTTGACGCGAACAGAGGTGAAGAAGGACTGGATCTCCAAGTCCTCATCGGGTTGTTCGACCTGCTTCTTGCGCCCGGCGCGGGGACCTGGCTGCTTTGGCGAGAGGCCACTGATGGGCTTGGGCGAAAGCTGCAGATTCGAGGCGCGCGCCAGGAGTTGGAGCGGGTTTTCGGCATCGTCGATTGCCAGGCTCTCCTCGTTGTGATGGTGCAAACTCATATAAGTGTTGCTGTCTGGGGTGTTGTCCAGGTCATCATCATCGTCAGATGAGAGGTCGGGTTGGTCGGGGCTGTTGAAATGCGATGAACCCCGCCTTAAGTGAGAGGAGGCGGTAGTTGACCGAGCATTTCGAGAGCCCTCCAGGAGCGCCTGGAGACTGCCGATGGCCTTGTCATCTTCGGAGTTGTGTTCACCGGTTCTGGCTCTTTTGATGGCCTGCTCAATCTGATAGAGAGCTTTATCTAGGCCCTTTCGCTTGCTATTACACGCCCGGCCAATGATCAATACTACATTAGAGAATGGTGGGGGAGTTGTGGTGCGACTCAAAGGGGTTGTCTCGGTCATGGGGGGCCGTCTGGTGTCAACACCATTAGACGGCGGGGGAGCTTTGGGGGCCCTTACTTCTTGATTCCCTTCTGTCTTCCAGCGTGGAACGTAGGCCGTATGCACTCAGAATCGAGCTGAATGCACCTCTTGCATTTGTTCTCATGCGGAGAATAGTCGCACTTGATCTTGCTTCGGCGGCAGACCAGACAGGCGGCCTGCTTTGGACGTAGCGATTGAGGATCCTCCATCCAGGTGAGGGGAAGGTGAGAGGAGCCCGGGTGCACTCTGGCGATCTCGGTGAAGAGCTAAAGTGCTCTGTACGGACAGCAAGCGACAAGATTTGGATTAGAGGAACACGCGTTATTTCTCAACGTATTGACTTCTGGGGCTGGGGTCGAGATGAGATCCAATATCAGAGCGGCCTGGTCTGTTGGCTTTTTGACGATACAAACACGCTACCCCTAGAGCAGACAGCTCTGCTGAAGATGGAAGTGCTAAAACATTGAGCCTTGCGACTCACTGACGAGAAGTCTACTTAATTGAGAGGTCTCCCGCCAAGCACCAGCCATTAGGGAGGGAGAGAAGCTCGTCCTGTGACTCGTGTGAAGCCGGAATCATTGGGGAAAGTTGAATGAGGGCACGAATCAGCACGCAGCTACGGACCCGTCCGCCGACTTGAAGGAGCTTAGTCATTACTTCATCTCTCTTGGCAAGTTAAGAGAGATTACATAATGTCAACGGTGTACGGAGTAGTGGCAGCAGCTGTTGTGTGAGTTCTTTGAGGAGCTGTCGCTGCTGTTGCGAACGCCAAGGACATTGACTTATTCTTGGCTTGGCCACACATGGCTCTTGTTACCTACCCTACATGTGCTCTTGAATCATCCATCTATTGTCGATCGTCAACCTCTTCATACATAAGTACTTACCTCTCGACTCCTGTTGCAATTGCGAGTGAGTTCCTA